CAGGTAACAGGGAATGATGTGGACTCAGGACCGGTGCTGTGGTATGTGCTGAGCCCATCTGGACCCCAGGATCCCTTCAGCATAGGTCGCTATGGAGGCCGCCTCTCCCTCACGGGCCCCCTGGACTTTGAGCAATGTGACCGCTACCACTTGCAGCTGCTGGCACATGATGGGCCTCATGAGGGCCGTGCTAACCTCACAGTGTTTGTGGAGGATGTCAATGACAACGCACCTGCCTTCTCCCAGAGCCTCTACCAGGTACTGATGCCCTGAGCTGACCCCACACCTGGGCCCAGGGTTGTTCACATTGGAAGTGGCAAGGCTAGAAGTGTCTGAGGTGGGCTGTGTGTTGGAACTGACCTGAGGATGGGAGGGTCCCATCTCAAACTAGCCTTCCAAGTCCTAGAACTTTGTCCAGGTTCTTCATCCTGTGCTTAGAAATGGAGGAAGGTGGGCAGTTTGGACATTGAGCATGGGCTTCAAGATGGCATGGATGATGGATGCCAAGCAGGCTTCATGGGACCAAGCCCCAGAACATAGGCTGAGTGGACAGTAGGGCAGCTGGGAAACTTGGCCATAAACACTTTTCATCACTCCCCAGGTGACACTGCTTGAACACACACCTCCAGGCAGTGCCATTCTCTCCGTCTCTGCTACTGACCAGGATTCAGGAGCCAATGGTCACATTTCCTACCACCTGGCTTCCCCTGCTGAGGGCTTCAGTGTTGACCCCAACAATGGTATGTCCTTCCCAGGATCTGACCCCCTTATCTTTGACCATGACCGGCCATATTTTTACTCCATTCCTAGAATTTGCCTGAATTCTTAACTCCTGGATCTCTGACCCAGTGACAAGATCCCCCCCCACCTCTCTGTCTCTATTTTAAGCTTTGTCCTGACTGCATGTCAAAAGCCATTTCATAAATCCTGGAGATCATTCCATAAACTCCCAGCACACAGGCCATTCCATGGAGTCTGAGTTCCAAAGCCATTTCCTAGGCCCCCAAAGGATCACCCTCTGCTCACTTACAGGCTGTGCTGAATGCATATTTCTCTCCACTCCCTTCTCATCTCAGGGACCTTGTTCACAACAGTGGGAACAGTGGCCTTGGGCCAGGAGGGGCCAGGAGTGGTGGACGTGGTGCTGGAAGCACGAGATCATGGGTTGCCAAGCCGGGCAGCACGAGCCACAGTGCATGTGCAGCTGCAGGACCAGAATGACCACACCCCTAGCTTCACATTGCCACACTACCGTGTGGCTGTGACTGAGGATCTGCCCCCTGGTTCCACCCTGCTCACCCTGGAGGCCACAGACGCCGATGGAAGCCGCACCCATGCCACCGTGGACTATAGCATCGTCAGTGGCAACCGGGGCCGAGTCTTCCAGCTGGAACCCCGGCTGGCTGAGACTGAGGAAGGTAGTGGACTAGGCCCCCGGGCACTGGGCTGCCTGGTGTTGCTTGAGCCTCTAGACTTTGAAAGTTTAACCCAGTACAACTTAACTGTGGCTGCAGCTGACCGGGGGCAGCCCCCTCAGAGTTCAGCCGTGCCTGTCACTGTCACTGTGCTGGATGTCAATGATAACCCCCCTGTCTTCACTCATGTGTCATACCGCATGGCAGTTCCCGAGGATACACCCGTTGGAGCTGAGCTGCTGCATGTGGAGGCCTCTGACGCTGACCCAGGTCCTCATGGCCTTGTGCGTTTCACCGTTAGCTCAGGCGACCCTTCTGGCCTCTTTGAACTGGATGAGAGCTCAGGTGCCTTGCGACTCGCCCGCCCCTTGGACTGTGAGACCCAGGTTCAACATCAACTTGTAGTGCAGGCTGCTGACCCTGCTGGGGTACACTTTGCTCTGGCACCAGTGACCATCGAGGTCCAGGATGTGAATGACCATGGCCCCATCTTCCCGCTGAGCTTGCTCAGCACCAGCCTGGCAGAGAATCAGCCTCCAGGCACTCTTGTGACCACTCTGCATGCAATTGATGGGGATGCTGGGGCTTTCGGGAGGCTCCACTACAGCCTGCTGGAGGCTGGGCCAGGACCTGAGGGCCGCGAGGCATTTGCGCTGAACAGCTCAACAGGGGAGTTGAGGGCACGAGTGGTCTTTGACTATGAGCACACCGGAAGCTTCCAGCTGCTGGTGGGTGCTGCTGACGCTGGGAATCTCTCAGCCTCTGTCACTGTGTCAGTGCTGGTGACAGGGGAGGATGAGTATGACCCAGTATTCCTAGCTCCAGCTTTCCACTTCCAAGTGCCAGAAGGTGCCCGGCGTGGCTATAGCCTGGGTCATGTGCAGGCCACAGATGAGGATGGAGGTGCTGATGGCCTGGTGCTCTACTCCCTTGCCACCTCTTCCCCCTATTTTGGTATCAACCAGACTACAGGCGCCCTGTACCTTCGAGTGGATAGCCGGGCACCAGGCAGTGCAACAGGCACTTCTGGGAATGGAGGCCGGACACGGCGTGAGGCACCACGGGAGCTGAGGCTGGAGGTGGTGGCACGGGGGCCTCTACCCGGTTCCCGGAGTGCCACAGTGCCCGTGACTGTGGATATCACCCACACTGCACTAGGCCTGGCACCCGACCTCAACCTGCTGTTGGTGGGGGCTGTGGCGGCCTCCCTAGGAGTTGTGGTGGTGCTTGCACTTGCAGCCCTAGTCCTGGGGCTGGTGCGGGCCCGTAGCCGCAAAGCTGAGGCAGCACCTGGTCCAATGTCACAGGCAGCACCCCTGGCCAGTGGCTCTCTGCAGAAGCTAGGCCGAGAGCCACCCAGCCCACCGCCCTCAGAGCACCTTTATCACCAGACACTCCCCAGCTATGGTGGGCCAGGAACTGGAGGACCCTACCCCCGAGGTGGCTCCTTGGACCCTTCACACTCCAGTGGCCGAGGCTCAGCAGAGGCTGCAGAAGATGACGAGATCCGCATGATCAATGAATTTCCACGTGTGGCCAGTGTGGCTTCTTCCTTGGCTGCCCGTGGCCCTGACTCTGGCATCCAGCAAGATGCAGATGGACTGAGCGATACATCCTGCGAGCCACCTGCCCCTGACACCTGGTATAAGGGCCGCAAGGCAGGGCTGCTGCTGCCAGGTACAGGAGCCACTCTGTATCGAGAAGAGGGCCCACCAGCCACTGCCACAGCCTTCCTCGGGGGCTGTGGCCTGAGCCCTGCACCCACCGGGGACTATGGCTTCCCAGCAGATGGCAAGCCATGTGTGGCAGGTGCACTGACAGCCATTGTGGCTGGTGAGGAGGAGCTCCGTGGCAGCTATAACTGGGACTACCTGCTGAGCTGGTGCCCTCAGTTCCAGCCACTGGCCAGTGTCTTCACAGAGATTGCCCGGCTCAAGGATGAAGCTCGGCCATGTCCCCCGGCTCCCCGTATTGACCCGCCGCCCCTCATTACTGCTGTGGCCCACCCAGGAGCCAAGTCTGTGCCCCCGAAGCCAGCCAGCACGGCAGCAACCCGGGCCATCTTCCCACCAGCCTCTCACCGCTCCCCTATCAGCCATGAAGGCTCCCTATCCTCAGCTGCCATGTCTCCCAGCTTCTCACCCTCACTCTCTCCTCTGGCTGCTCGGTCACCCGTTGTCTCACCATTTGGGGTAGCCCAGGGTCCCTCAGCCTCAGCTCTCAGTGCAGAGTCTGGCCTGGAGCCACCTGATGACACAGAGCTGCACATCTAGCTGTGGCCCAGGCTGGGCCCCGACCTGGGATGCGCACAGTGTCCCCAATGCAGGCCCCATCTGAGCCTGCCCTTGGCAGCCTCGGACCATGACTGACCACGGGGGAGGCCAGCTTCCCATCCTGAACCCCTCCAGTAGGGGCAGGTCCCATGTCTCACCCAGCTCTGTCAGAGCACAGTGCCACAGAGGCTCTGTGGGGGTACTGACCTGGGGACAGGTCCAATGTGGGGAGAAATAAGGAGGCAGCAGCCCTGGGTTCTCCTCAGTGAGGGCTTCCTGCCCTGCACCAGCACCCTGAGGTGGAGCTGAGACTTTATTTATTGGGGGGTAGGGGGATGGGGGAGGTCCATCCAACTTGTTTGGGCCCAGCTCTCTTGGGTTCTACTGACACCCCTGCCCCTGCACAGAACCAAGTGCCAATTCTCACTCTGGAGCCTTAATAAACTGCAGTTTGTATCCAGTGTCCGGCTGTATTCTGTGGGGGCCATGGGGATGGGGGATGATTGCAAGACAACTGATACACTGTGGACACCTCAGAGGGCACGGAGGGGGGTGGACACAGGGGCATCTAGGGTGGGGACAGCACTGGGAACCCAAGTCTGAGGCTGATGGTCACATCTCTGCAGTTGGCCTTTCCCATTCACAAGGGTTGGAAGTCAGACAGAAGGCAGACAGCAGGGGCTTCCTTGAGGCAGTGACCTAGAGAGGAATTGGCTGGGTGAGGAAGGATCTTGGGGATAACCAGCTAGGCCTGAGAATCCATGTGTAAGAAAAGCTCATGTCTTTTAAGCCTTTGCCACACCAGGCTCTCTGCTGAGCAGTTTTCCTGTTTTATCTCTGTAAATGTTCACTGCAATCCCACAAGGCAGAGCACTTTAGATCTAACCACTTCCATATTCTAAACGAAACCTAGGCTCGGAGAAGTTGGGTGGCTTTCCTGATACTGTACAACTAAGAAGGAACCCCGGTCTGTAGGTCTGTGTGCCCCAGATCACTTCTTTTTTTTTTTTTTTTTCAAGATTTTATGTATTTATTTGACAGAGATCACAAGTAGGTAGAGAGGCAGGCAGAGAGAGTTGGGGAAGCAGGCTCCCTGCTTAATCCACTGAGCCACCCAGGTGCCCCACCAGAGCCCCTTTCTTAAGTGCTCCCCTATACCCCTTGGTGAGTGCCAGCTTGCCTCTAGCAGCTAGGGGGAGCCCTGTATGAACCCAGTGATCTGGGAGCCACAGAAGAAGGATCCAGTTGCAGCCCCACCCATTTGGAGGAGGAGCCAGCAGGGCACCAGTTTCTAGGCAGCCACGTGGTGGTGGTGGTGGTGGTGGTGGTGGTGGAATATAAGGCTCATGTGATCTGTCACATGACAGCGGATCTCCAGAAAGGCAGCATGAGACTCCAAACCTGGTGAGAAATTAGGGGACCCCAGGAGGAGGGGACTATGTTGGAGGGTGGGAATACAGTGGCAGTCCAGCTCCCGCTGATACCCGCCTGCCGCCTCTGCAGCTTCCTAGGGCTCCTTGCCCTCTTCGTCCCCGGCAAATGCAGTTACAGCCCGGAGCCGGACCAGCATCGGACGTGAGATGACTTAGCACACACTGACCCCTTCCCTAGGCCCTGTCCTGTGCACACTGTCTTGGCCCAGACTCCCTCACCCCTTACCAGCTCCTGGTATCCACTCCATAGTCTTATCCCCAGGTTCCCAGGCTCAGTCCCCAATCATTCACCTCCTGTGAGCCATATCTGCCTCTGGGATCCTACCTCAGGTCTCAGCCCTTAATCCTGAACCTTCCATTACTAATATTTCCCATCCCCACACTAACAAAGCCCATGTTCCTGACCTCTGATCCTGCAGGTTGCCCCCAGGCTGGGTGTCCCTGGGCCGTGTAGACTCCGAGGAAGAGCTGAGTCTCACCTTTGCCCTGAGACAGCAGAACGTGAAAAGATTGTCTGAGCTGGTGCAGGCTGTGTCGGATCCTGGCTCTCCTCATTATGGTGCCTATGGGAATAGGGATTGGGACTGGGGAGTGGGATGTTGTGAAAGGACCCCGGGCTGGGCTGACTGTGGGATGGCACACATAACGTCAAAGTCATGCTCTTGGTGCCTAGGAAGGTGGTGATACAGGGCAGTTGAATGGCTGTGGCTCTCGAGCAGTTTCTGAATTTAATAAAAGGGATCTGGAAGTAAACTGTCTAAAACTCACTCAAATTCTTTCCCCCAGAACTTTTCACCTATGTTTATCAGGCTGGAAACCTGAAAGTTAAGAGCACAGGCTATGAGAGCAAATCTGGATTCAAATACTGACTCTACTACTTAGCAGACACATGGGAAGTAGTACCCAGTACAGATAGGTGCTCATTCCCCACCCTCAAAACCACACCCGTTTCCTCCTCCAGTCAGGCTCCAGAACTCTCATTTCCAGTTCTGGCTCTAAAAGAGCCTTTGGAATCATCTGCTTTTTACCATTGCTTGTAACTGCCCACTCATTTGTTTATTCTTGCACCCAGACTGCTGCCCAGTCCCCAGTGGTCCACCCCACTCCCCACTCTGCTCCCTACTCTGCTCTAAAACTGTGTTCTGTTCCAGTGGTCATGCTGGATGGCGTCCCTCCCTTGCATGAAGCCCTTCATGGTTGGGGGGGGGGCACCAGTATGCGTGTGAGAGGGCAGTCTCCAATTCACCCTGAAGCTGTGTACATGGCACTGTGCAGGAAAACAGTGACTCACCATTATGTTAAGCTTAAAATCAACAAGTATGAAGACTGGAACTGAATTAGATGTTACCTTATAATTGGTTCTAAAAGTTTGGAAAACTTTTCCTGGAAATAAACTTAATATGGAAAATTTTAATTTTTAACCTCATTTGTTGTTTGTAATTATGGCAATACATGCTCTGATGCAGCATTTGCAACCTTCTGGCCTTTAGGGAAAATCCATATTTCTGGCCATGGCATTCCAAGTCTCCCCAGCCTTTTCTTCCCCTGGCCCCCAAATATAGCTTTCACCTGCACAGCCTGCCTTTGTGCTAGAAAGTTTCCACCTATCCCTGAACACCCTGTTCCAGGGCCCCTGGGAAATTCCAATGTCTCCTGGTTGAGGTCCAAAATGAGCAACTTGGAAAAGCAATGAATGAAGGCAAGATCCTCTATTGAATTCCTGCAGGAAAATACCTGACCCTAGAGGATGTGGCTGAACTGGTCCGGCCATCACCACTGACCCTCCGCACAGTCCAAAAATGGCTCTTGGCAGCTGGAGCCCGGAACTGCCACTCAGTGACCACACAGGACTTTCTGACCTGCTGGCTGAGTGTCCGGTGAGACGGAAGGATTGCCCCATGGAGGGTACCAGTCATGCCATCAGGGAAACGAGTCACCCCAATGGGAGAGAGCTGAGAGCTGGTGGGTGCTTGTGGGTGAGAGCTAACAGGGAGTTAAGGATGAGCAGTGATGCTCAGGTAGCTTCCTCTGCTCTGGTCTGTGGTTTCTGATCTCTGTTCTCTGATCTCTGACCTCCAGACAGGCAGAACTGCTGCTCTCTGGGGCTGAGTTTCATCGCTATGTGGGGGGACCAGCAGAGATCCATGTTATAAGGTCCCCACGTCCATACCAGCTCCCGAAGGCCTTGGCCCCTCATGTGGACTTTGGTAACACCCAGTGGGGTTGGTGGGTTTGAAGCAGGCAGAACCAGGGGCTGGAAAAGTTTAGGTGCCATGGGGGGCTTGGGGTGGGGTCAGTGGTAAAGTCGGGGTTGGAGTCTAAAAGATCTCCTCCTCAAGCCTGACCCCTCCTCACAGTGGGCGGGCTGCACCGCTTTCCCCCCACATCATCCCTGAGGCAACGCCCTGAGCCACAGGTGTCAGGGACAGTTGGCCTGCACCTGGGGGTGACCCCATCTGTGATCCGTCAGCGATACAACTTGACAGCACAAGACGTGGGCTCTGGCACAACCAACAACAGCCAAGCCTGTGCCCAGGTGAGCTGGGCAGACACCTCCAGGGTCCTGACACCCTATCCAAGGTGCCTCTCCAGGCTGGGCCTTGTTCTCTGACTCCTCCCCTGGGTCCTCACCTCCTATCTGGAATAGTGTCCCCTGCCCTGACCTTGCAGCTGCATCCTCTAACCCATGATACCTGCTCTGATTCCTTCTGTAGTTCCTGGAGCAGTATTTCCATGACTCGGACCTGGCCGAGTTCATGCGCCTCTTTGGTGGGAACTTTGCGCACCAGGCATCAGTAGCCCGTGTGGTCGGAAAACAGGGACGGGGCCGGGCCGGGATTGAGGCCAGTTTAGATGTGGAGTACCTGATGAGTGCCGGTGCCAACATCTCCACCTGGGTCTACAGTAGCCCAGGTACTGCCAAGGGAATTGGTGGGTGGGGAGACTGGAGGTGGTGAGTGGTGATCACTGCTCCCTCAAGGGAATCCCATAAGCTAGAGGGAGACCCTGGCAACCTTCCAAAGGACCGCCCTTGTGCTCCTCCCCTCACCCCAAATCCAGGCCGGCATGAGTCACAGGAGCCCTTCCTGCAGTGGCTCCTGCTGCTCAGTAATGAGTCAGCCCTGCCACATGTACACACAGTGAGCTATGGAGATGATGAGGACTCCCTCAGCAGTGTCTATATCCATCGGGTCAACGCTGAGCTCATGAAGGCGGCCGCTCGGGGTCTTACCCTGCTCTTCGCTTCAGGTGACCTCCTACGCTAAACTTAGACCTTAACTCACCAGGAGTTTTGACCCCACAGGGAGCCCTGTGATCTCCGACTTACAATCTGAACTCAATAGGGACCACTCATCTGACCTCTAAACTCTAACCTCTTGCAGTAATGACTAACTCTTGACTTTCATTTTTGACATCTGAACCCATATATCAAGCTCTGACCAATTAATCTGAGTGCTAAACTTGGTCTTTCTCCCAGGTGACAGTGGGGCTGGGTGTTGGTCTGTGTCTGGACGACACCAGTTTCGTCCCAGCTTCCCTGCATCCAGGTAAGCACCCCAGCCCACCACTTACCTGTGACCACCAGTCTTCCGTCTATGGGTTCATGATCTGGAACTTTTGCCTTGACGCCACCAGGTGCTTCTGTAGCTAAGACCTCAGTTTAACCAGCTCTGATTGCTGCATTCCCTTCTTCCTATAGGTCTAGGCCTCATGGCTTCTGAGTGGAATGCATTTCCCAGTATTCTTCTTCTCAGTTCCAGGCATTTTAGTAGATTTGGTGAATGTTCTGTAGACAAAAGGATACACTATTACCTCAGGCCATGCCTTGAGGGCTTAGAATCTCTTAGTCTTCCCCATGTACCTGCTTCCCCACAGAGTCTAGCCCCTCTATCAAGAGCTAGCTCATACTTACCCATCTCCATACATTTTGGAGGTCCTCTTGGGACCCATACAATCTGTGCTGTTTTCTGCTCTCAGCCCCTATGTCACCACGGTGGGAGGCACATCCTTCCAGAATCCATTCCGAGTCACAAGTGAGATCGTTGACTATATCAGTGGTGGTGGCTTCAGCAATGTGTTCCCACAGCCTTCATACCAGGTATGTGTATGTGATAGTGTGGATGGGTGGGTGGGAGGGATCCTTGGTCAGCAGACAATACTCACTCAACAACATCTTTCAGGAGGAAGCCGTAGCCCAGTTCCTCAGCTCCAGTCCCCACTTACCACCATCCAGTTATTTCAATGCCAGTGGCCGTGCCTATCCAGATGTGGCTGCACTCTCTGATGGCTACTGGGTGGTCAGCAACAGCGTGCCCATTCCATGGGTATCTGGCACTTCGGTAAGAAATCAGCCTGGGTCCAAACCCCCTACTCAGAAACTATCCTCACCCTCTATAAGACCTTTTACCCAGAACCCCTGACTCCTCAGAGACCTCTGATCCTTTCAAACATCCCTCCCTCAAATCCAATCACTCTGAATCCCTAACCTCCATTTATTCCTTCATTCTTCCAGGCCTCTACTCCAGTATTTGGTGGGGTCCTATCCCTGATAAATGAACATAGAATCCTCAACGGCCGTCCCCCTCTTGGCTTTCTCAACCCAAGGCTCTACCAGCAGCGTGGAGCAGGACTCTTCGATGTGAGTATGGAAGGGAAGGGTGTGGACATTTTTATGAATATGGAGAGTTCAAAGATGAACTTGAGGGCAGTTCTGATGGGGTACTGAAATGTAAATACAAGGTAAGGGGGCTTAGTCTGTTAGTGCTGGTACGGACAGGCCCAGGTCTGATGCCTGCCTTCTCCCTAGGTAACCCATGGCTGCCATGCGTCCTGTCTGAATGAAGAGGTGCAGGGACAGGGTTTCTGCTCTGGCCCTGGCTGGGATCCTGTGACAGGCTGGGGAACACCTAACTTCCCAGCTCTGTTGAAGACATTAATCAATCCTTAACACTTTCCTGCCGGGAGAATGAACCTGTCCCCTGCCCCATAGCTGGTGGCTAGGTCCCTTATTCTGCACTGTTGGAAGCCCTGCTGAACCTTCAACCATAGACTGCTGCAGAGAGCTTATCCCCCAACCCTAAAATGCTGTGAGCTTGGCTTGACTCTCAACTCTACCCTGCTCCATCATGCTCAGGTCTCCCTACTCCTGCTTCAAGTTTCTCTAAAGATGCTGTAACTAGTATTGTTTGGGAGCCTCCCCACTCCCAACACCCCCCCCCCCAACCTTTTCTTCTTTCTCTTTTCAACCAGGCTTTTTCTAAGAGTTGTCTATGCTGTTTCTCTTCATGCTGTCTCCTCAGTTCATTGCACCTTCTTCAGCTTTCAGGGCTTAACTTCTTTTCCGACCATTCCCACTTCCTCCTTCATTCCCTCTTCCTCTTTCGCTTTCTCTTCTTTCTCACTGAATGTTGATATACGTCACTGCTTCATCTTTACCCTTCTGCTCTGTTCAATCTACCCAAAGTTTCCTGGAACAAATCAGTCATCTGTATCCACAGCTATCACCGTCTCACTAAATCAGACTGTTGGACAATGATTCCTCAAATGCAAGGTGTATGATACTCAATACTTCATCTTCCTCCTTCCCAATTCCAGACCATTCTCTGGTGTTCCTTCTTGGCAAATGAGACTATGCTGCTTCCAATCAAGCTAGAAGCCTAAGTGTTATCCTAGACTCCCTAATCCTTACCTTCCCCTTCCCACTACCACTGTCAATAAGTCCTACTGATTTCACCTCTTAAATATATCTTTATCAATCCACAAGTCCTGCCAATTACATTTCCTAAGTATACCTAGAACTCATTTACTTTTCTCCATCTCTACTGCTACTAAATTAGCTTAGAACAATTATTTTCTCTTCTCTGAATTGTAGGAGGCCCTTGAAAAATGTCCTTACTTCCTGCATGCTCACAAAACCATTTTTCCAGAGTAAAATGCAAATCCCATCAGGTCATTTACTTAAAACCCTTCAAAGATTACTGATAAAGTTCGGGTTTTTGCTATGACTCACAAACCTGATCCTTTCCTTGCTATTTGTTCCTGAGTAACAAATTGCTTATTCTCCCTTGTTCTCCCTCACCCTTCCTCCACTTCCCCACTTTCGCTTTTGCTTAAGATATTCTGTGCCCTTAACATGACCCCTGACTCCCTTTGCCTGTTTGGTTTCCAGGATTCTTTGAACACCCCACTCAGAAGCCGCCTTCTGTGAACCTTTGGCTCTCTGCAGCTCGCTGATTTTTGTATAGTAGAAAATGATTTGGTATAGCAGAAAAATCCTGGATTTTTTCAAACCAAGCCTGTTTGATTCTTGGTTCTGATGCAGACTAGGAAAGAGACTTGGAGAAGTCCATCTCCCTGAGTCTTTTACCTCCTCTGTTAAGTGGGAATATCAATACCTGCCTCTAACAATAATTAATAATAATTAAATGGAATGAAGTTGATAGAGTGCCTGACACAAAGAAGTAGGCAGCAGATGTTAGGTCCCTTCCTCCTTTGCACTGCGTACTGTGTGTCTACCTCTAGTATTGTAACTCCAACCTAGTATTGAAAATGCCAGTTTACCTCTTTGCCTCCCTTTCCAAGACTGTTGGTGCCTAGAGGACTAGAATCTTGTCCTACTTAACTTTGTACTCCCAGGCCCTAGCTCAGGATTGGCAAATAGGAATTAAATAAATGTTTGTTGCGTTGAAAACCCCACCCTCCCTGGTGATTTTGCATATGTTGTTTACTCAAACTGAAATAACCTCCCTTCCTGTCTACAGCAGCACTGTTCGCTTCCCTGCTATCACTTCTCCCGGCAGCTGGAGGGGAGTGGGGCTTTCGAACCCTTAAAAGGCTGAATAAGGGAACTAGAAAGGATGCAGACTGGCAGGCAACCTGTAGTTAAGGGGTGTCCCAAAACAAGGTCTTTAAGCGCCAAGTTGGAAGAAGAGTCCCAGACCTACGGAAAAGCGTCTTAGACCTTGACGGTTCCCATCCCGGCGAAAAGGCTTAGCAGTATGGCCGCGTGGGAGACCGCCTGTCGTAGACATCTCACAGGCTGGTAAACAACCAGGAGGCGGGAGACGCGAGAAGGACAGCAAACACGGCGAGGGAGGGGCGAAGCGCGGAGCGTGTGACGTCACCCATGGTGTGTGCGTAACGTGAGCGGAAGCGGAAGCGGCTCTGTTCGCCGCCTCTCCCACCGGCCTGATGAGCTGCAGCGGCTCCGGCGCGGACCCCGAGGCGGCGCCGGGCTCCGCTGCCTCGGCCCCGGGCCCGGCGCCCGCGGTCTCGGCCCCCGCAGCGTTGCCCGCTGGCACCGCTGCGGAGAACAAGGCCAGCCCCGCGGGGACTGCAGGGGGACCTGGGGCTGGAGCTGCGGCAGGGGGCACGGGACCCGTGGCGGCGCGGGCCGGGGAGCCGGCCGAACGGCGCGGGGCGGGTGAGGGCCGGGACGGGTGAGGGTGCGGGCAGTGCCCAAGGCTGGGTCCAGTGGCGGGTGAGGGCAAAGGATTTCACCTAGCCGGGGCCCCGCATCTCCCACCTCCATGTCTGTCTGCTGGTTCTCCTCCAGCTCCGGTGTCGGCTGGCGGAGCGGCGCCCCCGGAGGGGGCCATGTCTAACGGGGTTTATGTACTGCCGAGCGCGGCCAACGGAGACGTGAAGCCGGTGGTGTCCAGCACGCCTCTGGTGGATTTCCTGATGCAGCTGGAGGATTATACGCCTACGGTGGGCTTCCTGCCTGAACAAGGCTATTGGCGTGCTGTCAGGCCAACTTTTCTGCTACACCGCCTGGGTTTCCAGCCTCCTTTTGCACTTGCTCCCCTACTAGCTCTGCCCACCCAAACTGAGCTTCCTGAAAGCCAGGCCTGCCCTCCATTTCCCTCCCCCTCTCAGCCCAGGGCAAATACTGACAGTCGTCTCATTGATCTCTCAGATCCCAGACGCAGTGACTGGTTACTACCTGAACCGTGCTGGCTTTGAGGCTTCGGACCCACGCATGTGAGTACAGTCTGGGTGGGTAGATTAGAAACTTGAGTGCTAATGTGGTTTAATTGTTCCATCTCCTTCTCACACCACTTTTTTTTCTCTAGAATTCGGCTCATCTCCCTAGCTGCCCAGAAATTCATCTCAGATATTGCCAACGATGCCCTACAGCACTGCAAAATGAAGGGCACAGCTTCTGGCAGCTCCCGAAGCAAGAGCAAGGTGTGAGGGGAGGCTCATTGAATCAGTAATTACCTCCCACAGTGTCAGAGGCTTAATTGTCCTGAAATCCCTTTGGGGAAACTAAGTCCTAGGGGAGGTGAAAGACCTACTCAGGGTCACCCATCTGGGATTGAAACTGGGATTCCTGTGCTCAGCTGGTGCTCTTCCCTCTTCCCTCAGGACCGCAAGTACACTCTAACCATGGAGGACTTGACCCCTGCCCTCAGCGAGTATGGCATCAATGTGAAGAAGCCGCACTACTTCACCTGAGCCACCCAACCTAAATGTACTTGTCTGTCCCCTTGTCCCCACACCAGCCTGTTTTCATAATAAACTTTATTGTGACAGGCAGGGCTGGTCCCTCCCATGCTGGGAGATACCGTGTGGCAAGTGACAAAGCTCTGAGCCTAGCCCCTTTGGGGGCTGCAGTGGTAGGGATGGGGGCAAGGGATGGGCCCCATGGCTGGGGTAGTACCATGACTGGAGGCAGGGGAGGCAACCAGAAGCCTGCTGCTTTGGGGAGACATACTCCCCTAACCGTGTCCTGACACCTCTGGAGTTTAGGCAAGGGTTTTCCAGCTCTACTTGTCCTGCATCTTCTCCAGGATAGGCACAATCATGTCAAATTTAGGCCGCTTAGCAGGGTCTTCATTCATGCAGATCTTCATGAGCTTACACACATGGGGGGAAATGCCTGGTGGGATAGTAGGCCGAAGGCCTTCCAGTGCCACCTGCAAATACAGGAAAAAACAAAATGGGTTTCAGAACTTGAATATCCTGTGGGGAGAGGCCTCTAGTCCTCAGGACAGGATTACTGCATATTTGAACAAATATGGGAAGAGCCCAGCCCTGCTATAGTTATTGTTGTCACCACCACCATTCCCCCAACACAAGTGCATACAGTTGTGCTCTCACCTTCATTCCAATCTCCATGTTGGAGAGGTCAGCAAAGGGTACCTCCCGTGTCACCAGTTCCCACAGAAGCACTGCAAAACTCCACATGTCTGCTGAGCGTCTGTTTGTATCTTCAGGCTTCTTCTGCAGTGCTGGAGGAACAGGACTTAACTGTTCCAGCTGCTTGTCCTGTCTCTGCCCCCTTCCATTACTACTGAGCTGGCCCTTCTCCACCTCCCAACATGATGCCCTCACTCACCTTCAGGGGCCACCCAGGCAGGTGCATACATGCGCCCAGGGCATTGGAAGGAGAACTTGACGTCGGCCATGCTGATTCGGGCAGTCATATCCTCATCAATCTGAGGAAGAGAAGATAGATAATGTGGAAGGAGGTAAGTCCTATTCTAGACAGGGAAAGGGGTCTGGGGGTCTGGGCCAGAAATGAAGTGTGACCTTACCATTACACTACGGCTATTGAGTGCATGTCGTGGGATGAGGGGCTCTAATGTGTGTAGGAAGGCCATGCCCCTTGCCATGTCCAACGCAAACTTCACAGCCTGGCTCTGGTCCACAACAAAATCTAAGGAGGCAAGAGTCAAGAGAGTTTGGGGAGGCTCACACACCCTGTGCCCATCCCATGAGATTTGGTATCCCCTACTCACTGGTGCCTTCATGTAATACATTGTACAGGGATCCATATGGCATCCAGTGTGTGATGAGGGTGGGGTGAGGAGCAGGTGGAGATTGACAGGCACCTAGCACTGGGAGCACATTTGGATGCGAGAAAATCCTGGAAGAGGGAGAGTATCCCCAGCTGAGATCAGCATAAGAGATCTCCCTTTGGGTGCTAGTCAGGGTTCCTTGGAACCAGCAGCTTCCCGTTTGGGCCTTGCCCCACCTGAGACGGGGACACTCCTCGTTGAAGTCCCTGCTCTTCCTTGTACTCCAGTCTCGAACCTTTAGCACCTTCACGACGATGTCATTGCCCTGCCAACGGCCCTTCCATAGCTGAGAGACAGGTAAGGGTTAGGAAGCTTTAACTAAGGTCACTGCTTTCTTGTCCGCTAACTGTAAGAAAAACTTAAAACAGGTGCAGGGCAGGTAATTTGTAGGAGATTGGGGGGGGAGGGCCAAGAAAGGCAGGGTCACCTCTCCAGAGTGATTCTCGTTGAGCTTTGCCAAAAAGTTGAGCTGTTTGTAGTCAATGCCGGAGTGTTTGTTCAGAGTCCCATTTCCTGAGGATGTGGGCAGGTCAGTACCCAAGCTTCACCCTAACCCAGCTCCAACAGCTCAGGGTTATTCCCTCGACCATCCCTCCCCTTACACCTGACTCACGGGGCCGAGTGCGGGTGGTTCCCTTCCAGAAAGTGTCCTTGTATGGAATACGGTTAAGGTTCTGGCCCATCTTCTCTGCCCGCTCTGGGGAAGAAAAACAGCTTTGGCCCCAGCTGTAGTACGGAGCGAGGAGATAGGTAGGGACAAGACAGGATACAAACTGGAGTTGGGGGACAGACCTCGGAGGAGCTCTCTCAGGGGTGCCTTGGCTTTGTCCACAGGCATCTCTCCATACTTGTTACAAATGCTGACAAGAGCCCCATTAGCTACCAGGTCCTGGAATGAAAAGGTGGTTGTGATGACGGGCTCTGCTACCTCCCTGGCAATCAAAATCAACCATCAATACAGATATAGTATCAGATCTGAGTGTCATATATTCAGCAATACTTACAGAATGGATTGTAGGTTCTAGAATCTCCCATTCAGGCTCAGACGTTGCAACCCACCCATCCCAGGGCTCAGGGCTTTGGTACTCACCTCTGCAACCTGATCTTGGCCCCAAAAACAGGCATAGTGCAGGGGCACGTTTCCATGCTCATTCACTGCATTAATGTCAGCTTTATACTGCAAGAGCTGGTCCCCATGGCCAAGAAGAAGAGGCAGAAGACAGTCAGAGGGGAGATGGGAGTTGAGGCGTGTAAGGAGGGAGAAGAGTACACATAATGCTTGTGACTGACTTCCAGACATGTATGTAATGTATGTGACAGAACATTCATGCATACCTTCTGCACAATATCACGGTGTCCATGACTGGCTGCCAGGTGCAGGGGGGTGTCATCCCCACGGTTCATCACATTGATTCGTGCCCCCCGCATGATCAGCATTTCAACCACAGCAGAACGGCCCTCTCGGCAGGCCCAGTGCAAGGGGGAGAAGCCATGATCATCCCTTTGAGGAAGAGACAATGGTCATTGATCTGGAGGTGGGGCAAAGGCTTTGATATGGAAAAAACTGATAGTCTTTATGAAAAATCTCCCTAGAAACCCTGCCTGTCCAGGATTCTGATTCTCATTCATGCCAGCGACTCCCAAAGCTGTCCGATTAAGACCTTCAAAGGTCTTCAGACCGCTGAGCTTCAAACCTAACCAACTACCACCTGATATCTCAACAAATACATATGATTCACTGTCTTCATCAACATCTCCCACTAGCCTTTTTTCCTTGGCATGCCCCATCTCATTAAATGGTAGCATTTTATCTGGTTTCCTCTACATTCCTTTTGCAACATCTGTTGGTCCTTTTTGTTTCCAATGCATTTCATATGCCCCTAATATACTACTTGTGGCACTGGATTGTAAACATCTTAATGAGCTGTCTTGTCTGCTAGACTGAATTCTTGAGAGAATGGTTTGACAGAAGTTGTTTATGCATGTTAATACAAGGGAGGGGTGTTTTGGAGAAGGAAAGCCACAACTCATGGGAGAAGAAGCAAGCTTACTGATTGGCTCTGTACTGAAACCTAAGATCTAAAAATGGACTGGCATTAAAATAATGTTTTGGAAGGGTTTATAATGAAAAAGAAATACTTTTGATAAGTCATTACTAATGAGGCAGATATCAAATGAGGATTTGATTTGGTAAAACAGGATTCCTCTACTCAAGCAGTCTGAGTCCCAGAAAACAGGAATATAAGAGTGGCTTCTTTAGAAAGAAAACTGACTTTTCCCCTGCCAAGGACATGTATATTCTAAAGTAAAAGAGCTGTACAAACTAAAAAGAAGAAGAAAACACTTGGTGGGAGTTGGGCCTGCCTGACAGCCTGGGGCCATAAAAGGAAATTCCCTCCAGTCTGGTGTGTGTGAGGATCCAAGGGGCGGGACAGGGGGGCGGTCTGTGGTCTGAGACCGCAGCCTCCGGATGCCTTAGTGTTGCGGTCACTTCCCTTGTGGGGGCTCTAGTTATGGCCTGAAACAGATCAGGGGTCTAACTGCTGCAGGCCATCCAGATGTCCTCCTCCCCCAGGGGATGGGGGTGTGTGCATGACCTTTAATGACTTCCCTCCACAGCTGCCCTCATCTGCTCACTTAGAGATAGCTGAAAGCTTTCCTGGAAGGTTAGCCCCACCTCCCCTTCTCTGAAGCAACCATCCCCTACTTATCAGTGAGTTTTGCCTCCCAGATCTTTAATTTGTGCCCTGGTTTATCAGTTTCCTGCAGTCTGTGGCATAAGCAGGCCAGTGCCTGAGGGCAAAAATAAGAGCACAGGGTTCCACTCACTGTCAGACTGCCTGTCACCTCAGGGCCACAGACTATATTCCCAAAGAGTCCTGGAGGGAGTTTACCCCACCTCATATCCAGCATATACCTGCTTGGGCCCCCAAAGCCTTTCCCCTCAAACCAGCCCCAAAGGCTTCCAGTTTAATGCCACTCCTTCACCTTTTGGCACTAAAGAGTTTTATAAAATGCAAGTTCCCCTGGACAACTTCACCTAAGCCTTTATAACCCTACCAACAAAGTAAGAGTGCTATCTTTTTCTGAGCACCCTTTGAAGAATTATGAAAGAATTACAGAAATTATAAATATATGAAAAATGGGAAAAAGTGATCAGGAATTACAGAGGAATAGCATAAAGGCTAATGAGAACCTGTGAGGTCTAGATGAAGATGACAGGTGATCCTTACCCCCTCAAACCTAAAAACTGAAGAAATAAAATTTTAAAAACCACCATCCTGAATCATCAGTATCACTACTGCTTTTCTTGACTGTCTCAGCTAACCTTGAAGAACTTGTCTACATTCACTATTTCTGCATCTCCCATTCAACCCACCACCACGCTGTTGCCTTGAGGGCTGGCATGGGCCTCTAGCATAGGAAGTGTCCACAATACTTTAAATGAAGGAACCAGTGTTGTCTGGTTTCTTCATCTGTTTTCCTCTACAGCAGCCTTCACAAAGATCATCAAATACATTATTAATTGTAAATTCAGAAGTTACTTTAAAGTGCTAAAGTTCTTTAACTCGTCAACAGCCTATCCTACTGTTGACCACTCCCCCTTCGTTGAAACATTCACTTCTCTGAGCTTTACTAACATCTTTTCCTGTTTCTTCTGCACCCCCAGGTGCACCTTTTCAGTCTTGCAGGCTTCTCATCACCTCTCTGTCACACCCATGTCTTCAGGTATCATCTATATGCTAACATCTCCCAAATCTGGGTCTCCAAGTCAGATCTCTCTCCTGAAATCCGAATCTGCATAATCAACAACCTACTCAACGTTTCCACTCTACTGTACAGTCACTTTAACATGTCACAGCAGCAGTCATCATCGTTCAGCCATGTCCAACTCAGTAAAAGCAACCACTATCTACCTAAGTCTGAGCCAGAACCCTGGTCATCATCTTTGCTTCCACACTTCCCACACCAAGTCTCATCAATTCTTTATCCTGAAGATTTCAGGAATGCAATCACTTCTTTCTTTTTATATCAGCCTCCATTCTAGTCTAAGGCATCACCACCTCTGGCACAGACCAAGCAACTGCTTCTCCAAATGGCCGCCTGCTCTTGAAAAGGTATCCAAGATGACACTTAAATGGACAATCTCATCATATCATAGCAGGGCTTTAAACTCTTGTTCTTAGAATAATAACCTTATTATAGTATAAATATCCTTGCATGATCTGGTGGGCTCTTGAAGCAGACCTCTCCAGTCTTATCTCCCGTGGTTTACCACTTGTACCCAATGCTTCAGCCCACAGAAGCCCATAGAAGTCTTCTATCCTCCAGCCATATGGACCTGTAGACAACTCCCAAACACTCCATTCTCTGTCTTGCCTCCTAGCTTTCGCCCGTGCAGTTCACTGAGGCTGGAAAGCTCTCTGCAGCCCGTGCCTGTGAAACTCTTATTGAGCAGTCAAGATTCAGCAAGAACACAGCTTCCTCTGTGGAGACCCTCTGCCCCCCACAGGCTGTGCTTTGCACTCGTAGTACTGGGTAGGAAAGTCAGCCGCCCCAGCCAACGTGAACACCCCACATCGCGGAGAGGAGCAGCATTTGCCCTTCTCACCCACCAGCCACTTCAGCTCACCCCTGGTTGAGGTCGTTCTCCGTGTTGTCCAGCCACAGGCGAACGGCCACCGCGTTGCCCTCCCGGCACTGAGTGAAAATGTCGTCCATAGCAGCGTCCCGGCGCTGAGTCCCCTAGATTGGGGAAGCCTGCGGACTGTGAAGGTATCCACGGAAGGGGGGGTGAACCCCGAAAGCTTTGTCCCTTACCGGAGATAAGGGGGTGGGGGTCTCCCGCTGCCTCCCCAGCTAGTGGAGGTCTGGGAAGGAGTTCGGCTAGGCGGGATGATCCCTGTGTCCCCTGGGCGCGAGGGTAAGGCGGGTCCGCGCGAAGTAGAAGGTGATTAGGAAGTAGAGTCCCCTGAAGGGGTGTCGGCGAACAAGCTCGGAGACCCTACCCGAGAACAGACCTGGGGGGAGGGGGAGTTCAGGCGCTCTATACCCTGAGAAAGGCGATCGGGGGTCCTTCCCGGGGGTGGCCCTCGTTCCCTACTCGGTATTCGGGCCGAGCGAAGGCTGACGGTTGGCGGGGGTCGAGCCTTAGGGGAGGGCATGGGTGCTCCCGCACTCACCGGGACTCGGGCTGGAGGAGCCTTCTTCGGGGAACTCCCGTCCGGCCGCGCCCGCCGCCCGGCCCCGCCCCTGGCCCTCTCTGGCCAGCGCGGGTCCCCATTGCTCCCTCCCTCTCGCCTTCCTTGCCCTTCTAGCCAGCGGTACCTAAACTCGATGGTTTCCTGCGCCGCGCCGGCCACTCTAGCCACACAGATTTTCACTCTTTGGTTTCCGGCTCAGTTCCGGCTCCTCTGCGCGCCAGGTTTAGTAGAAACGCGCTGTGCACGTGGAAAGGCGTGTGGACGCGGGGATTTCGCCCACCGCACGAGCATGTTTGAGGAGCCCGAGTGGGCCGAGGAGGCCCCAGTAGCCACGGACCTCCGGCCTGTAGCCTCACGGCCTCCGCCTGCCTCAGCCTCGCAAATCAAGGTGAGCAGCCCTGCGCGGAGCTCTTCCAACCGAGAAGCTTACCCTGGTGGATCCGGGCACTGGGGGTTGGGGGTGGGGTGGGGGTGGTGTGTGTGTGTGTGTGTGTGTGTGTGTGTGTGTGTGTCCGCGCGCGCACGCGTTGGAGCGGGGGGCGCCTGCGGCCAACAGAAGACCCGACTAAGTGAAAGCTGTTGGGTAGAAGTCAGTGAAGTGAAGATGAATTATTGAACGTGAAAAGCACGTGCAGAGACCCTGGGGGGAAGAAAGCATGTCCTGTTGTTAAGGTCACCCACACAATTATCCGTGTGGTTGGAGCACAGAGGGTATGCCATTGAATTTGGAGAGGTTGAAGTTTTGCATATTTTAACAATAGAAGCCAATAAAATGGTTTTAGCAGGGGAATGATTTCTTAAGATTTGCATTTTAGAAAAGTCCTTGGTTTCAGTGTGGAGATTGGATTGGAGAGAATAAAAGTGAATGACAGTGAAGGATTTTATCAGCACTACCATTCTAAAGCAGTAGTGCAGAGTGGGTACTGATAAAGTCCAGGTTAAGTGCCTGGCCTGGGACCTCCCAACAGGACTTCAATCCAGAAGGCCTTCCAGACAAGAGACCTTCTCCTTTAAGCCTTTGCAGATGTGAAGGCTGCTGTACTTCTCAGGCTCTTCTACCTTTCAGTCAGCATCCAACAAGGAATCCTCCTGCTTTTTCCCATCCTCTTCATCCCCTCAACCCACTGCTATAATCTATGCCACTGGTCTTTCCATCTGCAGCTTGTCCCTTTCCACTTACTCTCTATACTACAGCTAGACTCATTTTAAGTACACACCTGTGATCCTGTCACTCTTGTTTTCAGAAACCTCTATAGCTTTTATAGAAAGATATAGAAAGTTGCAGGCAAGAGCCTGAGATTGAGTGTTGGAACTCCTGCTGCCTTGTGGCCTTACCACATTCCCCTGGGATACTCCGCTTTCTCATCTGCAAATTGAAGAAGTGAAGTGGCTGGTTACTCTGCTCTCCAGCCTCCCAGAGGTTGAGATGGTGACTTAAAAGTTGTTCAGGGTCTGGCAGGCTTCATGACAAACTAGAGAAGTTAACTAAGAATAATCTAGATGCTTCCGCCAGCATCTGAATCAGGTCTCCATCTCTGCCTTCTTATTCTCCAGGCCCCATCTATTTACCTCACCCCTTCTCTCTTCCCTTGTTTTCCCTCAGGGCTCTAAGCACCGTCAGCTCTTGGCTACTTTACGGGCCCTGGAGGCAGCATCTCTTCCCCAGCAATCCCCCGGCCTGCCTGACAGTGACTCTGAGGAGGATGTGGTGGAAAGGAAGAAAAAACGCCTGAAAAAGTCCTCATCTGCTAGTGCTTCTATTGACGTAGAGAAGAAGAGGAAGAAGAAATGTCAAAAACAGGGTCCACATGGCAGTGACCATGAAGAAAAGGAAGTAAAAAGGAAGAAAAAGTGCCTCAGAGGGATTCTCAATGCCAGTGACCCTGCTGAAGAACAGAAGAGAAAGAGGAAGTGCCAGAAACAGGCCCCCTCAAACCCCGCCCAGCATCTAGACAAGGATAACAAAACAGGTACTAGTGGATTTGTATATGTGTGTGGGACAGGGAGGGGCATCAGCTGATCCATACATGGCACAGGTTACCTGCCACCATTAGGTTTGGAGTTAGTCAGTAAGAAATGTTTTCATCCAGGCCATGGTCTCTTTCTCAAGGACAGGGTATGGCCAGGATGATTGCCAAACCTCAGAATTCAGGGGCTATTGCCCCGAATATGTTCTCTCATCTTCCTCTCTTCAGGTTCCAAAGCTTGGAAGAGTACTGCTACAAATAATCAATCCAAGCTGAGTCCTGGCTCTACTTCTGCCAACCCCCCCCAGACCTTGAGTCGCAAGCAGTGGCGGAACCGGCAGAAGAACAAACGTAGACATAAGAACAAGTTTCGGCCACCTGACCAGGCTCCAGCCGCAGCGCCCACAGAGGAGACAGAGATGCCTCCTGCCCCCAGCCCAGATAATCATGAGGATCGGGCAGGGGCTCTGCGAGCCCGCATGGCACAGCGGCTGGACGGTGCCCGATTTCGCTACCTCAATGAACAGCTATACTCAGGGCCTAGCAGTGCTGCACAGCGTCTCTTCCAGGAAGACCCTGAGGCCTTTCTCCTCTATCACCGTGGCTTCCAGAGCCAAGTCAAGAAGTGGCCACTGCAGCCAGTGGACCGCATCGCCAAGGATCTTCGCCTGCGGTGAATGAGGGTTGGGCACTCTGAGAAGCAATGTGGGTCAGTCATAGCTCAGACTAGACCAGTGAGTGATCCCTCCCCTCCACTCCCAGGCCCGCGTCCCTGGTGGTAGCTGACTTCGGCTGCGGGGACTGCCGCCTGGCCTCAAGTATCCGGAACCCTGTGCACTGCTTTGACTTGGCCTCTCTGGACCCCAGGGTCACTGTGTGTGACATGGCCCAGGTAAACCCTTCTATCTCTCTCTCTGTATCTGGTCTGTGCTCTAGACCCAACCTCTATGTGCTAATCTCTAATGCTCCCTCCCTTTACGCCCCCCATTCTAGTGTCTGGTGCTAGCAGTCAGTGCGGAATTAATTAATTAATTAATTTCTTAAAAATACCTGTTTTTTTTTTTTTTAAGATTTTATTTATTTGAAAGAGAGCATAAGCAGGGGGAGTAGCAGAGGGAGAGGGAGAAGCAGGCTTCCCCTTGAGCAGGGAGCCCGATGTGGGGCTTAGTCTCAGAACCCTGGGATCATGACCCAAGCCAAAGGCAGACACTTAGCCGACTGAGCCACCCAGGCATCCCTCAGTGCTGGATTTCTGCTACCCATGTTGTACGCTTTGTACAGTATTCCCATTCTCTACAGGTGCCTCTGGAGGATGAATCTGTGGATGTGGCTGTGTTCTGCCTTTCCCTGATGGGAACCAACATCAGGGACTTCCTAGAGGAGGCAAATCGAGTGCTGAAACAAGGGTAGGTGCTCCCAGCACACAGTTGTGTGTATATGTGCACAGGTATAGGTCTGCATTTACACAGAACTTCTCGCTCTTCTCAGGGGTCTCTTGAAAGTGGCTGAAGTCAGTAGCCGGTTTGAAGATGTTCGGACCTTTCTGGGGGCTGTGACCAAACTGGGCTTCAAGGTCATCTCCAAGGTGAGGGCCCCAAGAAGTCTTCCTATTTTTGTCTCGTTTGGTCTATTTTAGGGTAATGATGTTAAGGAAAGAGGCCATACACGCAGACACAGAGTTTGCTCTTTGAAGGCATGACGTACGGGAGAGTCCTGGGAACCTTTCTGAGCAAGGGTGGGGCATGGACAGAGGTGTTTTGAGGAGCTGGGGTGAGGATTTGGAGCTCACTAGGTCTTTTCCACCCGTAGGATCTTACCAACAGCCACTTCTTCTTGTTTGACTTTGAAAAGACTGGGCCTCCTCGGGTAGGGCCCAAGGCTCAGCTCACAGGCCTGAAGCTTCAGCCATGTCTCTACAAGCGCAGGTGACCTCTGGGCCCGCCTTGAAAGAGGAGGCAAGTCTTGAACTCCAGGCTCATAACTCTGAAGACTATATCCAGCAAGTCACCGACCCAGGGACTGGTATATCGCTTTTGCTGTCCTAAGACTAATGTTTGATTAAACCCCCTGGTTCAGCCCCGCTCTAATGAAGGCTTCTTGGTTGTGAGAAGCATAAAATCACTTGGGCTGGCTAAAGAGTAGGGAGTTTACTGTGAAAATACAAGGGTATCTGGGAATTAGGGTTCCTCCAAATGGGGGAACTAGCTGGTTTGAAATTCATGGCATCGCTGGGTTTGCTCCTCTTTCCATCTCTCAGGAGCCACGTGGACTTTCTGCCCTGGCATCTCTACTTGCTTCTCATCTCCATCTGCTGAGAAAATCTATAGCCAGGGCTGGGTGTGTAAGAGGTGCTCAATAAACCATAGCTATGGCTATGATGTGTTGTAAGCCTTACTACTTTCTTAAGTCCTTCCCTAGGTAGGGTTGGAGGTCAAAGAGCGAAGAATGGATTTCTTGACTGAGGAATACTCTGGGAGAGCTCAAGATGGACCTTTCAATGGCCTTCATTTCACAGGGTATTTAGAGAATATTGATAAGACTTTGAATTGTTCTGGAGGGTGGTAGTAAGAGAGCTGGGTCTCTTCATAAATAACAACTGGTTGACATCATGGTAGGCTGGGGGATTGGGCTGTCCATTAGTACGAGGGTCTGTTTGTTGTGTCCAGCTTGTAGTGGGCCCAGATCACCATGTCCTGGGAAAGCTATGGGCAAGGAATGCTGGTGTTAGGAAAATGCACTGGGATGATAGACCCTTGGCCTCTCCTGCAAAGTATCTGCCATGTCCCGATATAAAGATGTAGCATCTTACCTATTTGGAAGGGCAAAAACAGAGTGCTCACTGGGACATAGCTTCCAGGGCTCTGAGCCAGTCAGATGCCTCTGGTGAGGGGATCCAGCTTCGAGGTAGGCTGTGGACTGGAAGGCATGTTTGGAGGCTAGGCAGTGTGCCACAGTGTCTTCGCATGTGCTCTTCTGTCTGCTGAATACTCACCTAACTGATGAAGTCTTACTCATCCTAGCTTAGTTTTTCCTACTCTACCGCTCCTAAAGCAGAATTAATTTCTTCATCTACATTCTTCAGATTGCATTGTGATTGCTTTGCACATTAGGCAGCGGTCCTTTCAAATGATACTTATCTTTGTATTCCCAGAGCTTGTTGGTGACATGGTAGAGTAACAGGGTTTAGCTGAGTGGGACTGATGAGAACAGGGTATTGCAGGAACGCAGGCTCAGGGTACAAGATGTGGGCACTGAGGACTAGGGATGATGGAAGAAGTAAGCAGATGGGAGAACTTGAACAGACAGAACAGGTGGGATAATGAGGGCTGGTGAGAGAGAGGAATCTGCAGTGAGTCTGGATTCTCGCTTGAGCAACAGGTAGGGCTGGTGCTGCTGTTCAGAATGTTGGGTTGTAGGTACCTGTTCGACATTCACTTGGAAAAGGGATGTAATAGTGCCGGGAGAGACCTGTCCTAGGATTTGGGAATCAGCAGTCTAAAAGTGGTCATTAAAGTCATGGGAATAGATAAAATATCAGAGTAAGGTAGTGAAAAGAGAAAATGGCTCCAAATAAAACTCTGAGGAGCATCTGTTGGATGGGCAAGGGCAAGTGGACTAGTCAAGGTGACAGGATGAGAAGGTCGGGGCAATAAAACTGGGAGAGTAGATGCTTTCAATATGGAGGGAAGGGATGGAGAGGTTGTCAGCTGTCAGACGCTGTTGTGGGGTCTGTTAAAATTTACAGTGAAGTCAGACTAGTGAGTGAAGTTGCTGAATACGGTTGAGGGCCTGCTTAAATTTATAGTGGTATTCATGTCTTTTTAGTTATACCAGTCAGCCCAGTAGTATGGTTATCTTTGCCTTCTCAGGAATCTAGGTGTAGATGTGGGGAAATTGAGTACTAAGGGATCATCCAGAGTTGGAATCTCACCGTACAATGGAAATGAAAGCAAGCAAAGGTGTTTCACACCATTCAGAAGTAACTGATCTCTCTCTGGATCGTGTACTATTGTAGAAGAGGTAGGAGAGTGAAAACAGAGGAATGGGTTGTTGCTCTGGGAATCATTAAACAGGTGACCTGGGCAGGTGAGAGGTGGTGGTCAGGAATTGGAGTGCTTGAATTATTAGTGTTGGAAGCACAGCAGCTCCTGGCGATGGCCATGTCTAGAGTGAAGCCACAGGGGTCAGTGCCTGAGAGGCAAGTGAGAGAGGTTACCTGTATGTTGGGTAATGGACTGAGGGCTCAGGTATTACGGTGAGATCTTGTCTGAATGGACTTTGAGGTTCTCCAGGGTGGTGGTAGAAGTTGGCTTGGAAGAGAGGCCAGCCTCTCAGGGGAGGGGTCACATCCAGGACGTCTGCAGACAAAAGGATGGGGAAGCTAGATGGTTGAATTTCAGAAGTGCAGGGGGGTTGGACTGCCTACTAGAGAGACTTCCATTGTGGGAGTGATGTGAGGCTGGTGAGTGGAGCTGGCTGCCAGGCAGCTGAGATAACTGCCTCTCGGCAGTCCTTTTCCAGCGCGTCAGGAATTACTGGGTATTACTAGGGGAATTATTATTATGGCAGCTGCATGGGACAGGAGCCTCCGGGGAGAAGGGGAGGCAGGCCACAAAGTCCAAGGAAAGTGTTAGATTAACTGTGGGACACACATTACCTTTGACAATTCCCTGTCTGCGTTCTTTTGCAAATGTTTATATTCCTAGGTCTTGGTTAATTTTCCCTGTTTGTTTGTTTGTTTGTTTGTTTTTCTCAGCAGAACAGCTGGGGTCCGCTTTTTTCCTTTTCTTGTCCTCCTTACTTATAATTTAGATTCTTCCTTTGCCTATTCTGGCTCTCTCCACCCAAGTAAGTATCTCTGGGTTTGACTCAGGCCTTGGATTCCCTGTAACTCAGTCCAGCCCCAGTAGTGTCTCCATCAGTTGCTCTGATTCTGAAATCAGGACTCCCCTGATCTTGATCGGGGGCCTCTTGGCTCCATCTTCAGGACAAACTCTTAGGCAAGCCCAAGTGCCTGGAATCAGTGTTTAAGGCTGAAAGCCGAGGCTGGAGAGGGAACAGTGTATTTCCTTAAGAAATAACAGCATGGCAGCTATTCAAAGAACCAACAATTTAAGGAACAGTTTGAGAAGAGACTGAAGGAAGGGCAAGAGTGGTAAGAGGTAAGTGGAAGGGGGTTGCTGTACTGTGCAAGGTACAGCATGACAATCACCTAGTGGTTACCAAGCCCTCCCCCAGTTTCTGACTGAGGAGATCAGGATAGGGTTTGAGAAGTTCTGTTCTGGTTGCTTTGGTTTTTCACAGTGAAGCAGGAAGCAGGGTTGAGAGATTAGCAGGGAAGGGGTTGGAGTTTTGAGGCAAGGAGAGCGTAATGAACAAATGAAGGAAATGGATTGCTGGTGGTATTAATAACGTGCTTGAGTTTGAAGGTCAGAAAGAGGATGCATGGGAAGAGATTGTGTAGGATCTCTGTAGAGAGCTTGCTGTTTTGAGACAGCACAGCTGGTCTGTGAGGGCCCACCCCCCTGACCTCAACTCTTGACTGCGGACTCCACTGGGACCATTCAGGAAGCTTGAGGTATTTATATTCCTACGGCCGAGGAATGATGAGCCTGGAGTCTGACTCCTGCCCTGGGAATGGAGAGGGCAAGCAGAGGCTCACTAACTGTTTCAGTGGTGGAGCCGGGCGAGTGCCACTGCTTTTGCATTGGCCTGCGTTCCCCGAATTTGCCGTGGCAAGTGAGGCATGTGTGTATCCTGTCATCTTGCAGGAGAGAGGGAAGCATGCGGTGCTCTTGGTTCCTTTCCAGCAGGACCGTTTGAGGGAGCAAAGAGACCTCAGCACAAAGCAGCTAGGAGTGTGCCATGTGGACTGAGGAGGGAGTTGCAGGAGACCACCCACTAAAGTTGCATCTGCCAGGGTCAAGGGCACAGTTGGGATGTCCCCTTTACATATCTGCCAGCCCCATAGGGCACAGAACTGCCCAGTCCAGCAAGAACCTTCTTTCCTTTCTTACCCCTTATTTCTGTGCCGCTGGGCCCAGAGTAGTCAGCATCTGTTAGGTACATTGGAGGTAAGAAGAGCAGAGAGCGTACAGACTGTTCTTCCCCTCCCCAGCTGAGGCTCCTTGAGACTAGACGTAAGTGGGCCAGGGCTGGGAGGGGCAAAGTAGTTAAAGCTGCAGTAGGTACAGATTATTTATTGTTATTATGTAGATTTAGACATTCTGATTGCTTGAAATCATAAGACTGTTAATTAAGAATGAGCTGAAAAGTCACAGGCTTGCTGCAGTTTCTCTCCACATCAGGGAACAGTGCCCCCAAATGAAAAAAGTTAGGAAGGGTGGTAAGAGTCAAGAATATGTACAGTTGGGTTTGGATGGCAGCCTGTGCCTTGTGCTTGTTCAGCATGCTTTGAGAGGTTTCTTGCTGCTGCAGCTTTTGGTGGGCTCCAGCTTTTGTTTCTGTAACACAGTCCCGCAGGAACACAGTTCCAAAGGAAACAGCATGATCTTGGCAGAGACACAGTCCAGCTCTAAACACTCAGCCATTTACATCATTGCACAAAGCCCTTCACAGCTTTTCACAGACACAGACCTGCAATTAGAGCCTTCTATGCACAGGTTGACCTCTTCCCAGGTGACTTCTCAGATTGGCCACCTGGTTCTAGGACGTTAACCACTGTCTTACCAGTCTAATTGCTTCCATTCCTGCCCCCGAAGCCATTCATTTCTCCACATAGCCAAGTGATGTTTTTAAAATGTAAATCAGATGTCATTTCTCTTTTTAAAATCCTTCAATGGGTTCTCAGTGCTCTGAGAACAAAAGACATAGACTCATTCCCAGGCCCTTTGTGATCCTGCCCAGGCCTTGCTCTTCAACTGCATCTTAACCACTCCTTCCTCCTGAGGCTGCAGCCACACGGGCTTTCTTTTCTTTCTTTAAGCATTCCAAGCTGCTCCTGCTGGCTCTTTATACATACTGCTCTGTCTTTCTTCAATACTTTGCTTGATGAGCTTTGCGTGATCATCTTCCAGATCTTCACACCAGTATCTCCTTTTCTTCTGTAGAAAAAACTGGCTAGATGCTCACCAAAATGTCCTTTTCATGGACACACAGTTACACTCCATTTCCTAGCCCCTTGCATCAAGGTGGGGCTCTGTGAATAGTTCTCACTAATGGAAAGTAAGTAGAAGTGATGTTTTGCTACCAGACCAAGGCAACTACAGAGTGGATGAGCGTTCTCCACACTACCCCCCCCCGCCCCCCGCCTGCTTCAGTAATCTCAAGCACATTGAGATTTTGACTGTTGTGAAGCCAGTGGAGTCAGAGTGTAGAGTCAGAGTCAATGCTTGGAGGAAAGCTGTTTGACCAAGAGCATCCACATTGGGCT